CTACTAGTTGATACGTCATTAATGGATTTAAAAGAAACTCGCTTTTGTTTTTATTTAGCACAAGCATCACAGATTTTATCATTATCAAATTTAAGCTTAGGCAACCCTCGAACTAAATCACCTTGAATTAGCCGTTGCAAACACTCATACTAGCATGTCCTAGTCTCCTATGCCATAACCAACTATCATGTTCATCCTTAGCAACTAGGCACAAATTAGTCATATCAATAGAATCTAAATGCACCATGTAGATATCCCTATTTTCTGACCAATAAGCATAATCGAAAATATATGCAATGTCAATCAATTTTGTAATCATTTAAAATAAAACATTGTATCTTTATCAAATTTATTTCTCAAAAGATTATGCTTTAACCCATTCACATATAAAACATTATGCAATGTTGATCATAGAGGTAAGCACATGCATAAAGTTTTTGAAAATGTTATGCATTAAAACTTTCTAATAATTAAACAAAATCTATGCATAAACATTAAAATTTCATATCAAAATTTTGCAAAACCAAAGTTCTTGAAAATCAATATCAATTATTAAAGATATCAATTACATTTTAAAAACAATTTTGACCAAAAATTAATATGATGACTAGAGTTTATAAAAAATTAACAAAATTACCATGTCATCATACAAGTTTTCAACATACATGAGACAAAACATAATCATTTAGAATTATTTAACATTTAAAACCTCATGCATGCATAGAATAAATGAGCAACAAAAAAAATTAAGTTTAGAGGTTACCCATTACTTTTTCATGTGTGGCTAGAGCATCTTGAATATCATCAACTTCATCACAATTGCTCCCACACACCTACAAGAGACATTTAAGTAGATTTTGGTATCCAAATTGCTTTGGATCCTTGAACATTAGTTTCAATGCCTCTTGTTCCTTTTGGAACCCATACTTGTCTAATTTTAAATAGTTTTCCTTTCTTTAAAGGACAAGTATGTTCCTTATGACCATGATAATGACAATGTGAACATATTGTCATTATTGAACTAGATGAATTATTTAGAATAATCTCTTTTTCTTTTGTTAAACATTCAAGCTTATCTTTTAAATTGAAATTTTCTTTTTCAATACTTTCAAATTTCATTTTGAGAGTTCTAAATTCTTCTTCAAGATTTCATTTTGATTTTCAAAATCCATTTTCATTTCTAGAAGAAGTTTGTTTAATTTGAAAATTTCTTTTTCAAAGTTTTCAGATTTTATTTTGAAAGCTCTAACTCCTTTCTCAACATTTCATTTTGATTTTCCAAGTCTGTTTTAGCTTTCAAAAGAAGATAATTTTTAGCAATAAATTTAGAAATCAATTTATTGTATTTGGAGATCATGGTCTCAAACTCCGAAAATAATTTATCATAAGCATCTTGTAACTCATTAAAAGATTTTGAATTTGATATATTTGAGTTAGAAGATACCTTTGGCTCTGTGAGAGCTAATAGAGACATCACTTTTATTGGTTCTTCTTCTTCCTTGTCCCTATAGATCACCTCAAGCTTATCCCACATTTCCTTGGCACTTGAACAAGAAGAAACTCCTTTATATACATTAGGATCAATTGCACAATACAACATGTGCATAGCCTTTGAGTTTTGTTGAGCTTCATTCCGTTCTTGAATACTCACTTCTTTGCCTTCTTAGTAGGAGAGAATATCCTTTCTTGATTATCATCCAAGCTTCCATATCAAATGCTTTGATGAATATCATCATACACCTCTTCCAATGACGATAATTTGTTCCATTGAAGTGTGGAGGCACGTCAATTGGTCTGGATTCTTCCATGGAGAATGAATCAGAAGTGGACGCCGTCTTTATCGATTTAACTCTTCCCGGATCGACTCAAGAGGCAATTAAACCTTCAAATGAGTTAGGCTCTGATGCCAATTGTTGGGTTAATCGATTGACTTAATCGGCCAAGAGGGGGCTGAATTGGCAATAAAAAAGTTTGTGGAAGCTTTTGCAGAAAATTGAAAGAAATTGCACAGCGATTTAGAGTGGTTCGACTTTATCAACCAAAGTCTACGTCCACTACCTTAGCTATCCACACTAAGGATTTTCTAAAAAATTCACTAATTTGTTCTTTCTTTTTAGGCCAAAGAGATAACCTTACAACTCCCTCAAGAATATACCCCAATTCTTGAGAACACTCTTTTCTCAAAGAGAAATACAAATTTGCAAACTTACAAGAAAAACCTCACAAGGCAAATGTTTGCACAATTCTAGAACAAACAAAGAACACTCAAGAATAAACAATTGCACAATAAGTGTTCTTGAAAGCAAAATGAATATTGAATGAAAAATAGGCTTGAAATGCTCAAACTGAGGTTTGATGCTTCTCTTTTATTCTCTCTTGATTCTAATTGCTTGATGTTTCTTGTTATTGATCAATGGCTTCTAAGCTTGCTTAAATACACCTTGAATCACTTCTGAACGTTAGGGATAATTAGAGAAAATAATATAGTCGTTTTAGTGTGAAAACAATTAATAAAACAGTTTGGAGCGTGGGGGGAATCAGTACCCCCTATGGGGAATCGGTTCCCTAAGTGTAAAATTCAAATATTTCGACCGTTATACAAGGGGGAATCGGTACCCCCTGGGGGGAATCGGTTCCCTCCGAGCATACTGGAATTCTCGGAGCCAAACCATTCAGGGAGGAATCGGTACCCCTTAGGGGGATCGTTCCCTCTGAGCAATCTGGAATTTTTGGCTTTGAAATGGTTCGAAATACTTTGTAAAATTATTTTGAAATTGTTTTAAGATTAAAACTTAATTTTACACTTTGAGTAAGGATTAAAAATGATCTTTGAAAGATTTGGAGTAATGTTTTGATATTCGAATAATTCTATCGAATATACTTAGAAAATCATTTGGAAAATCTTAAAATTCATTTAACTTAATTTGTTATATCGAAATATCCAAATGTTTTCAACAGAGTGTCAGTGTCATATCTAGATAATGTGTAGCAGTTACAATCATTAGGGTTAGAGACCCATTAGAGGTGAACTCATGGAGAGGTCCTTAGTAGAGGATTAAGGGAAGCGTGAGACTCCTACTTCAACGATAGAACAGTTGAGCCCTAAGTAGGTAACACTCGATTAAGATCATGCATGTACATACTACTTAGTATCATGTCTTTAGCATGCTTATGGTTTTTGGGACTGATAATGTTTCTCTAGATTAATGATTATACTACTGGGCTTTGTAAGCTTAGTGTTCAGATGTTTTTCGTTTGCAGGTCAATAGCCAGAGTCGTTCGTGGAGCACCGTCGCAGTAGGACTTCCAGCATCTCCTTTAGAGTATTGCACTATAGCTTTAGTGGGCATATGTATTCATAGGACCTTACTCATGTATTTGGTTTATCAACTTTGAGTTTGTACTATTTTGATTTTAACTTATGTGTCACGGAGCTTCGGTTTATAAAATGTTTTATAACTGCTATTTATGTCTTTTATGATGCCATTTAGTATGTTTGAAATGAAAATAAACATGTTTTGAAAATCAGGGGTTGCCTCAGGGACCCAATGTGACACTTTAGGCCCATTCGGATTTAGGTTGCTATAAAGAATGTATGCATGAGCATTAATATTTAAGTACTATGTACCCATATGCAAAAAAGTAAAAAAGATGAACTTCATCAAAAGATTATGATTCAAATATTTAAAATCAGTCTATAAACATGCAAACTAATTATTATATAATCATGTAATAAAAATATATATTTTTTATAAATTACACTTTGCATGATCTAAATTTGTATAGAAATATGAATTCAAGAATAATACAAATCTATTAGAAGTCATAGAAATTAAAGGGGACAATTCGATATTTAAGTACTTTGTTTATTACGTTTGAGTGTAATATAGAAATGAAAATCGTAATTTGCCCTTTTCAATATATAGCACGAGGTTAAATTGTTAAAATTATTCATTTTCACATAAAAAAATATCAATACCACATCTTTTAGCTGTTTTCATGTTCTAGAATAAAAAAGAAATAATTAGTTTTCATGAGCTAGCATTTTGGTCTCCGATGATATAACTAATCTATACCAATCTAGATAAATTCTTTATTAAATAAGATGATTTTGGGCTTTTTGTTTACGTATAAGCTTTTAAAAATATTATTTAATTTATAAATTATGACAAGAAAATAAATTATTTTAATTTAATAATGATTAAATAATTCTATATTCAATTTTTTATATTTTAATTGAAAATTATTGAATAAAAAAATAATAGATATAAGTAATTAATAAAAGGTGAATTCGTTTTTATTTAAAATTCAATTAATAAATAAAACTTTAGAGGCAATTGGACATTTTCCAAAGGCCAAATTCTATGTTAATAATACATGTACTGCACATATGTTGCAGATTTAATACATATACTTTAATTCGTCAAATATGATCTTATAATTTTAAAATTTTAAAATTTCAAATTACATGACTTCAAATTATCAAATTGAAGAACATGAATTAAATGTAAAGCTAAATTACAATAAAAGACTAATAATAAAATTTAATTTAACAAATTTTACAACTTACTGTTTGAATCAGAACAAAAATTTTAAAAAATAAAAACATAAAATGACTAAATTAAAATTAAAAAAAAAACTAATCCATAATCTATGCATATCACATAAAAGTTAACCTCTGTACAGATCATAAAGGGATAAATTGAATTTTATCAAGATCATAAAGGTAAAAATTGAATTTCATCATGCATGAACGGGATTTGAATACTTTTCCCTTAATGTGTGTGTATATATATAACTTTCAATCAGATTTGAATACTTTTCCCTTAATGTGCGAGTATAATATATATAACTTTTAATCATTTGCCATTGAAAGCTAAAATATTGTCTATTGTGAAGATCCATTCACCTTCATAGCAAGAAAAATTTTTGTTTAAACTTATTTAAGGCTACAAGTTACAACATATTCTATGGAATTATTAATAAAAGTTACAAAAAAATAGGAGTTGTTTTTCGTTTTTTTTTTTTTTTTTTTTTTGTATAAAATGTTACATAATCCACTATGTTCAAGGTTGAAAATGAAGTGCCATGCTTTCATCCATGCAGTCTTCTTCCGGGGTTTGAGGTATCAAGCTATCCTGAATAGAAGCCAAAGCAACAGAACCTATGCTTCCTCAATTTACTCAGCTTCTCAACATCATTTACACCCTTTTCATGGAACCCATTTGTCTTGGTGACTCCATTTCCAAGATGATTCAAACCAACCTGGTTAGTCTCTGCTGGTATTATGACATTTTGCTGAGGCGATGCCGGTACTACTTTGTTATTGTTCACTTCCCTTGACAAAGAATTCGATCTTGCAGACCTGCAAGTACATCCATAGACCCAAAACCCCGTCATTTGCAGGTGTATTTTGGATTGGCATGAAAACTGGGGAATGATGGAGAAGGTGAAAGATACATGTGTAAATGTCTTATGTTATTACCTTGCGTCATTAATGTCATTGCTATTCTTGGAGTCATCTGAAGTCATCTCCAGGTTCTCCGCGAACATTTTGACAGCACCCTCAGTTTTTAAGGAAACATTGTCATCAGCAGCACAAGTTGGGTCTTTGACAAAACCCTCTTCCAAATTTGGAGTTTCTGGATCAGAGAAACTAGGTGTCCTTTGAGCATTAAATCCGTACTGTCGTATTATTGAAATGGCCTTCTCCAATGTTCCTAGAGCTTCTTCCACCTCCGGGCGAATAGGAATCTTTTGTTTAGCATTTACGCCATTTGAATCCGGAAATTTCTTGGTTGAAAGTTGATTTGGAGCTGTAATGCCCTCATCCAGGCATGTACCCTCTTCAGTTTCTTCTTCCTCAATTTCAACAAAAGCTTTTCTCTTTCTGTCTTGTGCCTTCTTTGGCGGAGATTCACTGTCAGGGTCATTAGCATGAACCGTCAGTTCCACATCGTGTGTGTTGTCTTGTTTGCCTTCAATTACATTCTCACTCGGCAAAATATCAGGTTCAGTTTTGAGCTCTTGGGCTTCAAGAACTTTGACTGATTTGTTACCGGAGTAAAGAGCTTCACGTATTAGACAAAACAAAGGCGCACCCAAGGCCTTGCTGTAATCTTCATTGCTATTAGTGACAGAAGCCACAGTCTGTAAAGCATTGTAAATTTGGAATGTGAGAGACTAATTGGCAGGATGGTAATAATCATTGTGAGAAAAAATGTTCCTAATCCAGAAGCTCTCAGAAATGGAAGCTTTTCAGATAAATTATGAGTTGCATTGATTTATACCCCCATCACTTCATTGCATACGGTGCCAACCCGAATGAGTGACACTTATTGGTAGCAATTAAAAAGGAAAATTAAGAAGCCATGTCAGAAGAATGTGTAACCTTTTGATAGAGTCTGAAACCGTTTCCGATAAGCTGCCTTGCGATGAAGTTTATAAGGGATGGAGGGACAAAATCGAGCTTCATATCCATATTTGCTATTGTCCTACAAAGTTAACAACCTTTAAATATGAAGAGGAGAAACAGAGACGAATACGACTTTCAAAATGTGCTATGGACATGGTTTCTACAGCCATAATCGCTATTGTCCTTGCAGTATTTAAAGAGTTACAGCTTACCTGAAGTAGCTTCTTTCATTGTTCACCTTCTGCAATGCAAAGCCTCCAACTACATCAATTCTTACAACATCCTTTGCTTCGGGGATCCCATGATTAGTAAACCCATGAGTTGCTCTATCAATGGTGCTCACATCTGAAATCTAAAAGCATAAGAACATATACATATTTAGATAAAAATTTCCAGTCTATGGGAAGAAAGTAAATTGCAAATGAAGTGAAACCATATTGGATTCCTTGAAGTAACTACCGTGTTCACAAGAATGACAATCAAATCGTCTTGAAAGTACTCAAAGGAAAAAAAGTGTACTAGAGCCTCCCTAGCTGACAGAGGCCACACAACCTTCACCCTTTCTTCCGAAAATACAAAAACAAGTAAGCATTTTACAATTTCAGGCTTCAATATATTACTAAAAGAAGGAAATGTATTTAAATAAAATGTTATAGTTCTAGGCTTGACAAACCTTACTAGAGCTATCTGTTCACCAATTCGGATCTTTCGCACACAGGTGGAACTAGTTACTTTGAAAGGTGGAAAACTAGACTGAGGCCACCTAGGAAGAGTAAAAGAAGATTAGTATCGAACACATTTTCAGTTAAATTGGATGATACCTTAAGCCTTCTGCATGTTATTCTTATATGTCAAGTGACCTTATATAGCAAACTCTCACCTATTATAGATTTATAATTATACAAGTGTATTTATGTAGATATTGTATAGTCATGCAAGAGCAGACGAGAAACAGGTATCAACAAAACATTCTGATTTACGAAGTAGAAGAAAAGCAATTAAAATATAGCAGCGATCTTAAAACAATAGCATCGACTTTTAAAACTCTAGATGATGCCGATTAAAGGAGTTAAAAAAGAAAAAGTAGCATTTCAAATTAAATAATATTCCTACTGCACCATGGTATGGGACCAGATCCAAAAGTAACCAACTATAAAATCGTAGGGAGATTTCCTTCAACAACACACAACCGAGGTCATTGATATGCAACACATAACTCACCAAAAGATATAAAAAAGAATGAAACCGTGCAGGTTACAGTGTTTTACAATAACAACAACAAAAAAACCCAATTCCCATATGTATGGGGTAAGGGGGAGGTAGGGTAGTAGGCTGCTCCCAACGCCAGGTTGAGAGTAGCTTCCGTGGAAGACCTCCGGCAGTCAGAAAATTAAAAATATAGATAAAATGCAGTACATATATAAATAAATACATAGCTAAACAATATTCATATGCAGTCATTAAAATCATATGTGCGTCTGTAACGGGAATTAATCCCTGCATAATAATCCCTGCGAAAGAATCTCTGCATATAGACAGAAACATAAGACCCGGCTAAATTTAAAAGAGGAAACATGAAGAAAATGATACACAGAAGTCAACGATAACAAGCGCAGTTCTAATCCTTCATAAATACCAATAACAGAAACATATAAAAGTAGAAGTCATGGAAAATACTACAAAGACATTAAAAGAAGACAGAGATGATACACCCTATAGATGTGACCCACACTACTCGACTACCCTAGTCTTTAGCCTCCATATTTTCCTATCAGAGGTCATGTCTTCGGTAAGGGCTAAATCCCTCAAATCAGATCTCAAGCAGTCTTCCCACTTCCGCCTTGGTCGTCCTTTCCTTCTGGCACCGTCGACTGTAATCGATTCTACCCTCCTGACCGCATCCGACGGTAGTCGTCTAAGGACATGCCCAAACCACCGTAGTCTTCCCTCCCTCAATTTTTCGGAAACAGACACCACCCCAAAGGACATCCTAATAGCAGAGTTAGTCGTCATATCCCATAGAGTCCTACCACATGTCCATCGAAGCATCCTCATTTCTGCGGCCTCAATCCTCCTTACGTGATCCTTCTTGGTTGCCCAACATTCTGATCCATACAACAGTGCTGGTCTTATTGCCATTCTATAAAATTTTCCCTTAAGTTTTAGAGGTTACAGTGTTTTAGCGGTCAATAAATAGCATATTAATTCTACATTGGAATCAAGTGGAACACCATAAACAATTCTCACCATTTCTTGTAGAGGGCTGACTCCCAAGAGATACATAAACCTGCAATTAAGTTGCTGATGAAAAAGGTTCCTTATATGAGGGCTGGTACTTAAGTCTTGAATTAATTTCAATTGCATAATCTTTTGCTCTTGATTTAGGATTAAACTTAAAAACAATTAAAACATGAGCAGAGCTTACAAACATCCAAAGGCCCATCTACGTAGCCTTCAACAAGTAATGTATGAAAAGGGGTACCATGAGGTCCTTCACGGTACATAACACGGAACTCTTCATTATCATGCTTCAACTGTCAAAAAAGTTTGACCATGCATTCAGTTCACAATAATCACGATTCGGAACATAAAAAAGTTTATTCCACTAAGATATGCTTAAAGTCATTGATAGAAGAGAAACAAGGGAAACTAGCAAATAAAGCATACTTTCCATTGACCATGTGATGTCTCACTGGATTCTGACAATTGATGATCATCAACAGAAGTACTCCTTAACATGTCAAGAAAATTCGATACTTCCTGAGCCCTTTTGTCCAATAAATGTTCGCAAAATTCTGTTGACCAAAATGAAGAAAGAAGAAAAGGTTCGACTGTATATACATGAGATCAAACTCTAAATTTAGTAAGTTCATATAGAGATTCAAAGTACACATATGACAGCTAAAACAGTAGAAGAGGAATCGATGCTCCAAAACCTTCTTTCTCATCTTGTGCATATCGTAAAATCTGATTCTTGACAAGTGTTCTAAGCGTCTCAGGATCGGTCAGTTCAGGGGAAGACAGCGTGTTGTCCAGCCTCTCTCTGTATTGAGAGATTGTTTTTTTCTTTTCCATATTCACATCTGTAAGAAAACAGTATCCAGCTCCAACTCAAGCGCTCGAAGAATCAATAAACCTAGCAACTAAAAACCAAATTTGTAAATACAAGCATTAAATTATCAGTCAAAACAGTTGATGATACAGCCCCAAAACAAAAATCATGAACACAATTGGTTTCTATCTGCAGAATATGCAACAGTCAAAGACAATTAAGACCTCCATGTGACTTGTACAGGCAAAAAGCCTCATCTGCAAAACAAACTAAATAAACGAAAACCATGAATTTATACAGAAAGAACTGCAAAAAAAAAAACTAGGGGGACCACGGCTGATAGGAATTCTATTAAAACAAGAACATGAAGCAATTGAAAACTCCTCCAAAACATTCATATCTCTATCCTCATAAGATCAACAAAATCAAAGAAAAATCAGGAACAGATACTTTGAAGTAAAAGTAAGCAGTCAAAGGAGTTCAACTTACATGAAGCTCAATGGAAATCAAAGCGAAAACCAAGATTTCTTCCTCCAAGGAAAAGTACAAGAAGAACCCAGAATCAGAAAAGCAAAATTCCACACACCCAAAAGGGATGCTGCAGATCTCAATGGAAAAACCACTTCCTTTAAAGTTCCAAGAAACCTCTATATCTAAATCATGTTAAGCAAGGCAAGAGCAAAAATAAAATAAAAACACTTGAATCGAGACCGCCTACACGCAAAATCAACATCGCCAATTCTCTTCTCGGGTATAACGGATTCACGCCAGTCGGCAGAATCAGTAAATAAAAAATTACAGCTTTTTCCTGCTAAACAAAATAGAGAATATTTTTTTTATTAATTAATGTAATCGGTTCTGGAATTTGGATACGATACGGGTTTTCGGACAACTAGGAAGGAAGGCCCACCAGCACTTATTTCTTCACCAAACTTTTACGACCAAATAAAGCTCAGTCATCTAATTAGTTTAGTTGATGGTTTAATATTTTTGAAAATTAGTATTTCTTTCTAAGAGTATTTGTTTATCACGAGTAAGGGAGCATTATTATTCGAGCTTTTATGTTAATTTTATTATAATTATGTATAGATTATGATAAGGAGGGCTTCTAATTTTTCAATTTTTTCTAACCATATAAGATATATATTCATATTATTTTCATATTATAATATCATATAATATATCAAATATAATCTAAAATTATAAAATATATTAACAATATTTTATTTTAAAGAAAGTATTTTGAAGGTAAAATATTGATGAGAGTACAAATAAATAAAATAATTAATAGGGAAAAAGAATTTACAAACAATTGCAGTCAAAAAACCAAATTAAGTAAAATGTAAAGTTAAGAGACTAAATGAAAATAGATCACATTTTTAGTAAAAACATAATAATTGAAGTTACAAAGGTATTCTAAAGTGGTATATGAACATGTGGTTCAGATTTGATAAAAAAACACTTATAATAAAAGATAAATTGAAGAAATAAGAAAATTATAAAAAAATCAGAGATTAAATTGAAAAATAGAAAACTTGTTATCAAAAAGAAGAATTGAAATTACATATGTATTTTATTTGATAAAAAAATACTTAAAATGAAGGTGGAATTGAAGGAATAATGAAATCATGGACTAAATCATACGACTATCAAAATACTTGGTCAAATTTTTTATTTTTCCAGTAACTCAAAATCTCCAAATTTCAACTCAACTCGAAATTAAAAATTGAATCGATAATTCATGTTGACTAGAATAACTCGAAATTGAAAAGAAAATATTATTCGAGTCAAGTCAAGTTTTAATTACTCATAATCACGAGCGTTAATATTTGTATTTTATTTATTTTTCAGATAATTTTATTCGTAATAAGAGAAAGATATAATATAAAAATTATTTTTTAAAAAATTTAATTAAATTTTTAGAAAATATATTTTTTAATTTTTAACATTTTATTTTTGTAAAATAATATCTAAAATATGTTTTATACGAATACAGGCATTCATGGCTTACATATGTTCAGTAGTTCTATTGTGCGGCTAGGAATTTTAAAAAATTAATTTATGATTAATTTTAATTTAAAATATTATCATATTTAATTTAAAAAATTATATATTGATAATAATTTTGGTTACAATTGTGAATATTACTTTACGATAGGTTTTAATTTAAAATTTTATATTGTTTATTTTAAAATGTTAAATGATAGGTAATAGTTCCATTTACAATGGATAATGTTATACGAATTTTTTTACAATAACTTTTTAAGTTACAACTTAAATAATTATGCAATTTACATAATTTTATGTAGATAACATAATATTTTTAGTTTCAGCCCAAAATGTTATCCGAATTACTCTAAAGGGTTACATAGTTAATAAAATTTTCAGTTACAATCGATTATAGCTTTTATTAATCTTATAAGAATATTAATCAGGTGTATTTTAGATTCCCTTATTTATGTTGCATTTACTTTTATTCAATTGTTCGGATATATATAGTAAGTGGTTAGTTTTATTAAAAATAGAAAATATCTAAAATTACAATGAAGATTTACAAGTATAACGGTAATCCTAAAATATAATTATGATATTTTCCTATTACCATTGAGACAAAAACTAGCCACCTAGATCATATAAGGACCAAAGAAGAAAAATGTTAAAAAACCTAACCAAAAACTCGAATAAAATAAAGGTATGAACAAATCTAAATACATCGGTAAACAAACAACAAAAGATGATGAAGCTACTGAAAGACCACTGACAAATCGCATATTAGAGTCAAACAACGTGAGAAAACTATCTACGAACGCAGAACACATATCCAAATCAATTTGATGGTACAAAGTAGGGAAGATCATCATGATAACAAATAAGCGTCATATTGATCAGTCGTGACGGTTTTAAATCCAACCCTAAGAAAAAAAGATAAATAAAAACAACGGCAAAAAATCGTAAACTATTAAAAGGCAAAAAAAATATGACACAATGGTATAGATAAATGTGCCAAAAGGCATAAAATATATCACATAGACATAATTATTTTTATTTAAAAAACTAAAAAAAAGTAATCAACTGGAGCATTAAAATCGACACCTCCAACTGTTAAATAAAATTAAAGAAGAAAAAGTTTGATTGATGAATAAAATTGGCACAAATTGTAAAAAAAAAAAAGAGGAGTTGTTCGGATATATATTTGGGACAATCAATTTTTTAATAAATAAAAATGTATTACATTTTAATGTAAATATTTTACCACTCGACTAATTAATAAATATCCGAAACAATCATATTTAATAACTTATTATACATGTTTCAGGTGGGGGAGAAATTTAATAATTTAAAATATATTATAAGTGGTGTGGCATTAAGAGTGTACAAAACCATATTCTTGAATACCCTTCAACAACCACTTTGTTCATCTTTCACATAAAACTAGAGTTAATTGTATCACATGTTCTCAAAGTATGACTCTCATTTTAAATTAGTCCCTAAATTTTTAAATATTTTAATTTTATCCCTAAACTATGATTATCATTCTAAATTAGTCATCAGACTTTTGAACATTTCAATTTCATCCTCAAATTATGACCTTTATTCTAAATTGGTCCCCAAACTTTTTGAACATTTCAATTTCATCCTAAATTATATGTACATACTAATCACATTCATTGTTAATAAATCACTAGACCAGTTTTTTCAATAAAAAATACATAAAAATCTAAAATATATAATAATTTTAAATTTTCAGGAGGGTCGATTGCCCCTACTCACCCTTCAATCCATCCTGCCCTGCTCTGTACAATGTGTTAAGAACTTACTCATCGGTTGGATTCAATACCATTTTTACTATAATCGGAGTTAAAAAAGTCAACAAATGCTTCAAGTCTATAACCACGAATCAATAGAAATAATTATACAACCATGAACTTTAGGAAGTAGTACTGCCCTAAAATCTAATCCCACGTAATCATTTAAAATTTCAAATTCCATTCAGATTGAATTCGTCCTTGGTGAAACGATATCTACTTTGGACATTAATTTCAAAACTAATTCATTTTTATTTTTGATTGGTAAAAAATTAATAGTATATAAAAACTGTAAATTTTACATTGTAAGAAAAGCAATACATTTCTTAAATAATTTCGCTCTTGTAAAAAGACGAGAATAAAACATAAATCATTCTTGCATTAACAAATGCCTTTTCTAAAATGTTAATGATTTCATGAATTATATTATGAATTATCATATAAATTTCAGTCGAGTCGTGTAATTTAATCAAATAATCCGTCATCATGTTTATTTCTCATTTAATAGACTTGAAATTAATGTATCGGCTTTTCTTATAGAGGAGATCAATGCATGAACTAGAGTGAGAAGGCTTGAAAACATTCGAACAATATAATTTAATGCTTTCATAGTCGAGAGTCATGCTTCAAAGAGATTTGTACTTTTCTAAAAGCCTTAATATCAAAATAATTATCTAAACTATATCTTTCTGCCTAATTTTTTTTTTTTGACTCATTCAAGTGCTCAAAGTTATAAACATTGCCATTTTAGGTGTTTGACATTATAAACGTTATCATTTTAGATGTTTCGGTTCTAACAACCATTAAAAAAGCCAGTTAAGTGACACATGTCACAAACATAGAATTTTAAAATTTATATTTTTTAAAAAAATTAAAAGAAAAAACAACGCGCACATCTCCCCTCCCCTCCCTTTTGTGATTTCAGTTTTCATGGCCAAACGGCCAAAATTCAAATGGTCGGCAGATCAATTGGTCAAGGAGCCATTTTCAACAGTCAATTAAACAATTGATTATCATGATCGATCAAAAGAATTTAAGGGATTGGATATTTGGGATTTTAGAGTTTAAAGATTGAAATTTAGGAATTTTAGGTTTTGAGATGATATTAAGAGTTGTAACCGGTTAGTGGGTGGTGAGTGACGTATGAGTGGCCCATCGCCGGTGAATGGGTGGCCGGAGATGACCGGTGTAATACCCTAATTTTATCCTATAATAAAATATGAATAAAAATATAAGGACCAAACGTGTAATTTTACCTTTTTAATATTTGTGTGGTTTTAAAAGCCAAAAATAAAGCTGGAAACAGCCCCCATTTGGTAACCTGTTTGGTTTGCTAGAAAAAAAAAACTCTCTCCTTCAAGTTTATTTTCCTTTTTTCATATTATGATTGTCTTTCTTTTTTAGCTTTAATGCGAGTAGTCTATCGTTGGGGTTCAACCCTCATCGGCGTTGTAGGTGACGGTCGGTAGACGATGGTTGTTCGGCCATTGTCAATGGCCATGGAGTTTGAAAGATTCGGTTCAGGAATGAGCAAGGTTAGAATAGAAGTAGATTTGAGATGATATTAAGAGTTGTAACCGGTTAGTGAGTGGTGAGTGACGTATGAGTGGCCCATCGCCGACGAATGGGTGGCCGGATATGACTGGTGTAATACCCTAATTTTGTCCTAAAATAAAAAAGGAATAAAAAATATAAGGACCAACCGTGTAATATTACCTTTTTAATATTTGTGTGGTTTTAAAAGTCAAAAATAAAGCTAGGAAAAAAAAAGCTCTCTCCTTCTTCAAGTTTATTTTCCTTTTTTCATACTGTGGTTGTCTTTCTTTTTTAGCTTTAATGTGAGTAGTCTATCGCCAGGGTTCAACCCTCATCAGCGTTGTAGGTGACTGTTGGTAACCGATGGATGTTCGGCCATTGTCAATGGCCATGGAGTTTGAAAGATTCGGTTAAGGAAGGAGCAA